ATGTAGTCTTGAGCCTTGTATTTATAGGAAGAGTTCCTGGATGAGTAATCGAGGCTGAAATTACGCATAGTGGAGTCTGATTAGAGCAAGTGGGTAGTCCAATCGACATTTGGGATCGTGAAGCATGGTGTTGTGACCCCATAAATCCCGATGAATCTCGGCCGCTGCTCTTGATCGTGGGTTCTGAGCTTCTGGCCGTGGAGACGCATTTATTGCTCTGATAGCTGGTGACCTAATCTCTCAAGCTGCAAGAATTCTTGTGAGAATGTCTACGTCTAATCACTCTGTCTTCTGTCGCCAAAACCTGACTTCAGTCACTTCCCACCTTCCCTCATGCATTAAATGCTTATTTGTGGCCAATGGGTTTGCTGCATTAAACAGGCACTACTTCATTAAATGAAGCATGGGTCCCTGCTATCACGTGATGATCTGACTTTAATATTTCTGGCCGCGATTTTGCTCGGCCTCGGCCTCGGCCTGCACTCGAGGCCGAGATGATCATGCCTTAGCATTTTTCTTTTGTCTTCAGGAAGGCAAAGCACCTTGCTGAAACGCTGCGTTTCAGTTTTACGAGCAAGTGCCAGGGCCGAGAAAGGGGGCTCCTTCGGCCAATTCACGGCCGTGATTTATTAGGCACAAACACCACCAAATAAGTCCCAACCCAACTTGGAGCCTCATCAAAAACGCAGATACCAAAATCTAAACTATAACTCCAAGCAACCAGTCGATCTGCAACATTGTTTTTCTCCCTAAAAATATGATGGAGGCTGCAATTGTCAAGCTGCTGCATTAACTGCCAACAACTAGAGACCAAAGATGCAAGAGGGTGCAAAGTAAGAGAATCATGCTGCTGAACAAGCTGGATAGCAACAGCCGAATCCATCTCAACGATAAGGTTATTAAACCCTTTCGCAACAGCCATCCTCAAACCAAAGAACAAGCCCCATAATTCAGCCTCTAGAATTTGTCCTTTTCCCAAATTAACTGTAAACCCACTACACCAATCACCAGAACCATCACGCAACACACCTCCAACACCAATATGGCCAGAAGCAACTTTCCTAGAGCCATCGACATTCAATTTAAAGAACCTAGTAGGAGGAGGCTCCCAAGCAAACCAAGCCTCAACCTTAGCACACTTGATAGAAGGAACATTAGAAGCTTTAAACCATTCCTTTCATAGTAGCAGTAATAATCTGTATGAAGTCAAAAGCCAACTCTTCATCACCATGAAACACATAATAATTCCTCCATTTCCATATGTACCAACATGTGAAAACAAAGACCAAATTCCAGGGAATACCATCAGCCCAAACAATATTTGACATCAAATTTACTCTAAGCCAAGGCTGAAAGTCCATAATAAAAAATTCAACACTTTTACTAGAATTGAGAAGAGCATTCCACACCTTCTTAGCCTTAACACAATCACGAAGAATATGAAGTATAGACTCCATAGGCCAATGACACGAACCACAAGAAGCATCCAAAGATAGATGTCTTCTAGCTCTTTGCTCATTAGAAAGAATTTTCCCTTCAATAACAAGCCAAAAGAAAATATGCATCTTGGGAGGAATCCTAAGCTTCCACAAAAACTTCCAAGCAAAATCAAAGCAAGCAAAGTACTAAAAAACCATATTATAAGCATATTTTATAGAGAAAATCTCATTGGAGGAAAACTTCCAAATTTGAGCATCTTGAGTCCTACTATTAAACCCCACACGACAGCTAATAACTCGTTGGACCAGATGATCAGGTAAAGCAGCCCTTAGTTTCTCCATATCCCACCAACCATTTTTGTAAAAACTGGAAATAACACAATATGGGTCACAAATATGCACACTACTATCATTTTGGTTTAAAGGAGCATCAAAAACCCAATTATCCTTCCAAAATTTAACAGTACCACCATCCCCAATCCTTCATAACATACCCTTCCTTAGGAGAGCAGCCCCATGAATCACACTTCTCCATGCAGA